CATTAAGTGCATGCTCAAGAACACATGCAAAGAAAAGAATAAAATAGGCTTGATAACATAAACACCACCTGAATATCCAACAAAATAAAGCATATCGATAATAGCTTTTTTGGATACCCAAGGTCAACATTAAAAATATCACATTGAGGCATACCAAATACTCTTATAACATGAACAGTAATGGACTATGACCTAGACAAAGCATCAAGTTTAGCCAAAACATGCTAAACCGAAATCATTCCCCTTGCACCAACCTTACAATGAACATCCATATCCCAAACATAAACACTAATACAACCCACAAAAGTGTAGGCCATTGAAGTATCGATGCCTATTTATAGCAACAAACCCATAACGTTCAACAGATAGCTTAATGATAGGAGACAAGGAATTGAATACTTACTTGAGACACCCATATCAGAGAAAGAAGATTTAACACTAACACAGCACAAACAGCTAGTAGAGCTTAAAGTCCACACACACCTTTATCAGCAATGGATGTATAGACGAGATGGAATGAACAGGAAGATGATTAAAGATGAGATTTAAAGAACCTTACTCCCCTCGACTCATAAACACACACTACCTCGACTCCCACTACTAAAGCCTCTCTCGTAGGTGATGACAATGGCGCAGGGCTAGTAAATTTATCCCACACTAAAATGCATCACCCTCTCCTCTTGCAACCTTAGGAAGATCCATCGAATGGCCGTGATTAAATGCCATGGATCTGCCCTGTGCGAGAGCCAAAATTGTACCCCTTTTGGATCGCAAGATCAAAGCTTGAGCTTTAGAAGACTAACAATGGCCCAAATTAACCACTACTGCAACTCCTTGTCCTTGCCTTTACCCCACAATTAATCTCTCACATGCCTTAGCAAACACTCACCCCTTACTTTCTTAGAAAAAGCCACGTAGTATAGCTTGCCCCTAAACCAATGGCACGTGTCAGTCTTTTTTAATAACCCCTTCTCCATATTTTATTTATCTTTCTTTACTAATAATGAAATAATAATAAAGATGAAGCCAAGCTACAAGCCTCTAATATCTCTTTTTCATATAAAAATACCACCATTTTACATTAAAAATAGCCATTGATGACAACTGGTTACTATTAGTTGGTTATTATTAAATAATATATTGATTGATATCTTCAAATAATAATAATTAATCAGGGCAGCTATTTTTTTTAGACATTGTTTGTTGTTGATACAATAATACCAATCTTTATCAATTTGTTGTATTTTATTAAACATTGTTGTTTTGGACACTCTAACACTAATATTTATTGACCCACCAATTCATGAATTCTAAAATGGGATGGTTCATAAATGAGGTTGAAAAATATCATGGATCTTAGTTAGTCTAGAAATCAATCACATCACAATTTATTATTAATAAACCTCCACACCTATCCCTTTTATCCCCCAATAACTAATATTTTTTCTATTATTTCATAGTTTATTGACTGAGATTGGCATTCAATTAATTCATTGTTAGACTAGCTGATTTAATTATTCTCAAACTGTAAGGACATGTCCCTTTTATCCCTCAACAACTAATATATCTTTTTCTAATTCATGGTTAATTGATTAAGATTGGTATTTAATTAATTCATTGTTGATCTATTTGATTTAATTATTCTCACAATACAAGGATGTAACCTCACTCCACCGATCGGGGGGACAAAATAGTGGGTTTCTTAAAGCTTATGCTACCCGTAAAGAACAAACTGTATATTGGAACTCAAAAAACCAAAAGTGGGCCCTTTTATTTAGGAGGAATTTTTCATGGAATAGAAGCAAATGAAGGAAAAAGTAGAATTAAAAAAGGGGAAAGACAAGGAAGGGACCAATTTTGTTAGTCACCAGGAAATGCACCCGCTGTGTTGGTGCAAAAAGGAAAAGAAAGGTGAGGTACAAGAAAAAGTGAGGGATTTGACATTCCCAGTTGAAGGCACAAGGGCACTCACAAAAAGGATGGACTTCAAGGGAAGAGAAGGAGACACTGTAAAGGAAGAAAAGCTGAACTATTCATTGCTACAGGAATTTGTGCCTTAAGCCAGTATCCCCTTTAGCTCGGCTCAAAGTATTGGGAGAGATATTGATATTGTTAAAGGAATAAGAAAAAAAATATCATTTCAACATTATCTATAAAAAGTCAGATAAGAGATGCTTTCAAAACATACCTATAGCGTGCACAGATGTGGTCAATGATGATGATTATGTTGTGATCTATATGAGTTGTAAGTTTTTTTTTTGGCCAGTAGTTGTAAGTTATAGTTGAAGCTATTAGTTATGTGGATAATCAATTAATATTATTCAAAACTACTCCTTGTTGGTTTTGGTTCAGCAAGAGCTCTAACAATGTGTTCACACCCTCTAAAACATCACCATGCATCCCTACCCACTTGCATCCCATGAAAAAAATATATAATGACTCAGCACATTTTTCAACAATGTAGGATCCATGAGGCATTAATAAGAATAACATATCAACAAACTCCAACACTACTACTCCACATCATTGCCACATAGGATAAGTTATAAAGGATTAAATGGGTTTTCAAAAATACTAGGATTAAATTATAATCTGATTAAACTTGAAAAACTAAGTTATACTTGTTTTTTTTTTTTTGCCAAAAAAAGTCCATTTTATTAATAAAAAAATTACACACAATAATAGTTGAAGCAAAAAAGAAGAAGAAGAAGAAGAAGAAGAAAGAAGCTCAAAGAAAAACTAACAATACAACCTAAACACACCAAAACCTCATACAAACATAAAAAAAAAAAATACAACCTTCAAACAGAAATAAAGAAAGAAAAATAAACAATAACCAATACCAACATGAATATTATAATTGTTAGAATTCTTAGGGTCCTTATCTAAGCTACTAGTTAAATAAGCTAATAAAACCTCAATTAAGAGTGGTGGTGATGCTATTTCCAGCCACCATTGGGTAACACCTCTCTATTTTCAGCAATTGCTAGCTTATTAGTAGCATGATCAGTTTTAAATTGAGTTATAATTGATTAAATTAAACTTTAAGGTCTAAATTGCATCGAGTTAAATTTTAACGATTGAATTCTCATTGAATTAAAGCTTAAAAGATTAAATGATTAATTTTTTCTTTTGTCTTCCTTCCTCCTCAAATATAATAATTAAAAACATGTATTGTGCTTACATATATAGATTATAATGAAAAATATCTCGCATGGGGCCACTCTAGAAAATAAACCACAAATATTTGGCAAAAAAATAATAACTAAACTTGATCCAAGCAGGGGCTAGTCTTGAAATCAAGACATGGTGGGCAAACATAAAAACTACTTAAAGTATGGGAAGCTAACATTAATTTTACAATTTTTTCAAATAAAATAAAAAAATCCCAAAATTTTTCAAAGGAACAATCAAATTGTGGGGGCAAGCACGTTCCTTGCATCCAAACCTTAAACCAAATTATTCAAATACTGAATTAAACCGATTAAAACAAAAAAAAAAAAGAACAAATCCCAAGCATTTCATAAATAGATTGGTTTCGGTTCGATTTTTGAAAAAAAAAAAAAAACCCAACTTGCAAATTAAATACCATGACTACTAAGTCTAAGTCGTATAAGTACACAATATCTTTTAACAATTAAAAGTTCATCAATAATGCAAAATAATGTAGACTTAAATACTGATGCAAACGTAAATCACTTTATTAAATTTTTAAAAGATATCTCATTGTCAAAATCATTAATAATTGAATATTCAAAAACATATTCAAGAATAAATAAGTCTACCTTTTTTAATAAAGTAATTTCAAATGAACACTTTTGTTATGTTAGATATAAGAAATATTTTTTCATCCTTGTTTTTAAAGTAAAACTTTAAATAATTAATGAATGCTTGGTTCAATTGTTCGAGAAAATTAAATAAGTTTATTTTGTGATCTTGAGTTTGAGTATTCAAATGAGCAATCTTATTAAATAAATATATCAAATACATCTCTTAAGTACTCATAAGGCTATTATTGATAATAACAATTCTACATAACAAGGATTCAAATAATGAAAGTGATAATATTCTAAATTTTTTATGATATTGAGTAATAAAATAAAAAAAAGTAAAATTTAAATGAGTTGAATCTTAAAAATTCACACAAACTTAAATCTTCTTTATATAAAAATAATATTTTAATATATCATAACTGATACGTTTGTAAAATGAAATTTATACAATTTACAAGCCCTAAGCATACTGAATCACAAATTTTACAAGTCTTAAGCATGCCCATTGATAAACTACTTTCGATAAAGTATTATTATAATATTGGTTAATGTTATCTTCAGTATTAAATGTTAAATTAATAAAAATGAAAAAAAATTACTTTACAATCCCCGCAACATATTTAAGCACCTCAGAATTTATTAGATTCATAGAAAAATAATAATAGTTGTATTTTTCTCTGCTAATTTTTTTTCTTATTCCATGGCTGCGCTCTTGGAATATTATTATCCCGTGTACAAATTAATTTAAACTCCCATTATGTGAAATTGTCATTACCAACAACCATTTTATGGGTGATTCAAAAATATTTTTGACATATTTATTTAATATGATAGTATATTTTAAGATTTTAATTTAAAATTCTAGAATAAGTTAATTCAACCCCTCCACTAATTGTCAAGTGCTCTTGATGTTTATCTTAAAAGTTCTTAATGGTTCTTTCTTTTTAAATGTATTGTGAGGTACTTTTTATATAATTCTTGAAGGAATTACATTTAAAGATATGTGAAGAATATTATTTATAAATAAAAATTAATAATAAGTCTGATTTAAAAAAAAATACATAATCTTACTTTAACAACAAATCATTTCATATTAATTTTTATTAGGCAACAATAGGTATCTTTTCGAGTCTTGATGTGATTCTCCCGTAATTCTTTCTTAAAAAAAAAACTGCACCACCTCACACTCATCATCAATTATTATTTCACTTTGCAAAGAACGTCATTATTTCGAGCTTTGAGGCGTCTCTTCGAAAAACACAATAAAGGATTTCGTGGAGGCAAAGGTGAATCTTACAATTGATGTGACGTAAGCTAAAAACCCCTTAAACCCCCTTCTACCGGTTGATGACTTGAGTTGAATTTCAATGTTATTCTCTGCAAAACCCTAGTTATCGTTCTTTCGATTGGAGGCTGACGCCATGGACGAAGTCCACGAAGGACCACCAAATAGAGAACTCTATGCACTCTTAAACTTGTCGCCAGATGCCTCCGATGAAGAAATCCGAAGAGCTTATCGTCAATGGGCACAAGCCTATCACCCTGATAAATACCGAGCTCCCCATGTATGCTACTCTGATAGCCTCTTTCGGGATGCACAATAGAGAGAATGTGGTTTTTTTTTTTAATGTATTTTTTTATAGTCTTGAAGTTGCAGTCTCAAGTTTTGGTTTTAATGGCTACTCTCAGATGAAAGACATTGCTACTGCAAACTTTCAACGCATTTGTGAAGCGTATGAAGTTTTGTCGGATCCAAATAAAAGGCAAATATATGACATATATGGCATGGAAGGTTTGACCTCTGGTCTGGAACTTGGTTCGAAGCTGGATAAAGCCGAAGAGATAAAGGCTGAATTGGAGAGACTACGGCGAATGAAGGAGATGCAAAAGATATCAGCACATTTTAGAACTTCTGGTACAATTCTGGCCAATATGTCTTTGCCACGCTTTCGAAATGGCGATGGCTTCATGAGAGGGTATTGCTCAGTTCATTATATTTCTTCATCACTTCTTATTGCCAACTATCCTCATCCCTCAAAATATTTGATATTGAACTCGTTAAGTAATCAACGGAATGCTTTCTGACTTAGTCTATCAAACATCATATTTGTTAAAGGCAATGTGTTAATACTGTGCTTCCTTGTTGGAAATGTCGGAGAGAAACTCTGAATTCAACAGAGGTAGCATGCCTTAAGTGGCAAGGGAAAATGACAACGAAATATGTTGTCATTTTTCAGCTGCTCATTTTCATTCTAACTAAAGCATATTCATTCCCTTACTGGCATATCAATAGCTAGCTGTCATTATTGTGATTATGTCTTTGAATAACATCTTTATTATTCTATCTGACGGTTCATACCTTCTTTTGTGGCTATGAATTTCAGAATGGCTATGACCAGTGAAGTCCAGTCTCGGTTATCAAAACGTAATACTATTGCAATTGGCGGCAATTTAGCAGTTAATGGCAATGCAGGTGGTGGGGCTGCTACTGCCCTATTTAGGCATGAAATGTCGGAAGTTTCTTCTGTAGAGTTTATGGCTTCAACTGGGTTGCGTGCATTGATAGGGGTGCAAACAACACGGTAGGTCATCCACTTCTTGTTAGCAGCATGAATTTGCCAGTTTTTGAATGTCAAGTTGAATACTTCTTTGTTGACATATTTCAGTCAACTATCAGCACATTCGGCTGCAACAATGGGCCTTGCTATGTCTTTGCAAGATGGTTCATTGAATCTTTCTAATTCATGGAACCGCCAACTGTCAGAAACAACTAGTGGAAATGTATGGTATTTATTTACTCCAATCTTTTATTTTCCTTTTATTTTACCTTTTCAGTAGGGTATGCTTCATTGATAAACCCTGGGATTTGGGGGATGATACATTTTGGAACCGTGACGAACAAATGTGACATATTCTGGAGATGTATGGACTACCAATTAATGTGTTAAATTAAAGCTAAATTTACATAATGATAACAACGAAAAAAGATCAATTACTTTCACAAGCTGTTGAAATTTGTTACTGTCATAGTAGGTGCCCTCAGTCTTTGACATTCATTCGAAATGCAAAATAATAGGACTTACGTTGTCTAAGAAAGTAATTATTCATCTACTGATTTTGCAAAACTTGGGGAAACATAGTGATTTCTCTGTTATTCCCACTCCTCAACCAGCAAGTGAAATAGTGAACATTTATTGTTCTTGTTAGAAAAGAAATCTGGGAACCTTTTATCTTTAAAGGTCTTAGCTAGCCATTTACATGTAGATATTAAGAATACCTAAGAAGTTTTTCGTTGAAAATTTGTCTTGCGTGAGCAACACTAAGCCATATTCAATGCATGTGTTAGTAATCATTGAACTGTGTTACTCATTCATGCTGTGCGCTGTCAGCCAAGAGCAGTACATTTATAGAGAAATTTAGGCATGCCACACAGACTATCCATGCGTTTATACCTTTCTGGAGCACTGATATAAGATTGATAAATGTAAACTATCTAACTTTTATCAGTTAAATTCTGCACAAGAAGTTGGCCACAATAAACCAAATCGTTTTGGGCACAATACCAAAGCATAAAATTTAAGAATGGACCTCCCAAAAACAAGGGGCGGGGGGGCTGGGAAAAGTACAGAACATTAAAGGATGTTCTAACATAAGTGAAGACACTAACAATTATTGAAATATCTTACATCCGTCATTCTTTCCATGTCATCTGTTTTACAGATACAACTTGCTTTGGGACCACAGTCATTCATAGGTGTAGGTTGGCAAAAGAAAGATGAAAGAAGATCTGCCTCAGGAGAAGTGAAGGTACTTCTTGTTTTCTGCATAGCTAAGGTTAATTTATGAATTATTTACAAGTTGGTGGATCGGATGACTTTGTGTTATGATTGAACAATGAAGAGCCATGGACCTTCAACCTTCTGATCAACAGTGTGTATTAAACCAAGTTCTTCTAGCTGTATTTGTATATAGATGGATTGTGATGTGTAGAATAGGAAAGAATAGAGAAGAATAGGAGAGAGACGAGAGAGATAGAAGGAAAGAGAGAGGATTTCTGAATAGTACTCGGGAAATATTATTTCAAGCATACCGAACAATTACATATAGTCTCTTTATATAGGTTCCCCTAGGGTGCTGAATAGGATTAACGGTCACGGTCTAACGGTAACTAACCATTTCTGAATTATCCTCTAATTATCTAGTTTACACATCAATATCCCTCCCTCAAGAACCCTTGACTTCAAGGGTTAGAAATGACAAAACTAGGGTGCTGTTTCTGTAACTGAAACGAAGAAATCCAGCTAGCCTCTTCATCTGGAAGGTTCTTCCATTTCACAAGAACTTCTGTAATAATCTTGCCTTTTCTTCTACCCCTCCGTTCATTCAATATTTTTTCTGGAATCAAATCTGCAGGAGATTCTGGCCAATCATAGGGGGATGCTGCTGCTTTACTGAAGGATCAGGACATAATTTGAGCAATGAAACATCAAAAGTAGAGTGAACCCTTGATTCTGGAGGTAATTCCAGCTTATACGCCACTGGCCCTATCTTCTTGCAGATTCTATAAGGCCCAAAATATCTTGGGGCTAATTTCTGAAAGCTTCTTGAGGCTGTAGAAATCTGACGATAAGGCTGTAATTTAAGAAATACCCATTTTCCTTCCTCAAACTCTCCATCACTTCTGTGCAAATCTGCTTTCTGCTTCATTCTATTCACAGCCCTATTGAGATCATATTTCACCATTGCTAAGTCTCTGCTCTTGCTGAAAAAGTTCTGTCAATAGCTTCTACTACCACATCTCTAGGCAAATATGGAATGTGCATAGAAGGAACCTGTCCATACAACAGCTCATAAGGAGTAGTTTTTGTAGAAGTGTGAATGGGATGTGTTATACCACCACTCCTCTAAAGAAAGCCATTTGTGCTACTCTTTAGGTCTTTCCCAGCACATACACCTCAGATAATTTTCCAAACAACAATTAAGCACCTCTGACGGCCATCTGTTTGTGGGTGATATGAGGAGGTAAGCTTTTGTTCCACTCCCAAAACCTTCAAAAATTTCCTCCAAAAATTACTGATAAAGAGGGGATCTCTATCGCTAATAATCTCCACAAGTGACCCATGCAATTTGTACACATGGTCTAAAAATTGCTGTGCCAAGGTAGATGCTATAAAAGGATGAGATAAAGACAAAAAGTGTGCATATTTACTGAAATGATCAATGATTACCCAAATAGTGTCTTTCCCATTTGATTTGGGCAGCCCTTCTATAAAATCCATAGTCACACTCTCCCAAACTCGACTTGAAATAGGTAGAGGCTGTAGCAACTTTGGATAAGCCACTGATTCAGACTTACATCTTGCACAAGTATCACAGTGCTTTACAAACTCCTTGATGTCATCAAATAATTTTTGCCACCAAAACAACTTTTTGACTCTTTGATAAGTAGCTTGTACACCTGAATGTCCTCCTTGTGGACTTGCATGAAGCCATTCCAATATTTTCTGCCTTACACTAGGAATATTTCCCACCACTAATCTGCCATTCCTTCTTAAATGCTGACCATCCCAAGAATAGTTGCCTTCTACACCTCCCTTCTATTTTAAATGAGCTTTTAAAGCTCGCAAATCAACATCCTCATCCCAGCTCTTTTGGATTTTCAGAAAAAGGAAATCTGAACAAGTCTGCCAGGATACTTGGAAAAACTCACTCTTTGGCATCCTTGAAAGAGCATCAGCTGCATTATTGTCGTTGCCTTTTCTATAATGTATTTCATAATCGTGCCCCATAAGTTTGGTCACCCAATACATTTGAAATGCAGTTTTAAGCTTCTGATCTAACAAGTATTTAAGACTTTGCTGATCAGTTTTAATGATAAACTGCCTTCCTTCAGCATATTGATGCCAATGTTCCACAGCTTGTACTACCCCCAACAATTCCTTCTCATAGAGAGATTCAGATGTCTAGGAGCCAAAGCCTTGCTGAAAAAGGCAATAGGTTGACCCTTTTGCGTTAGAACAGCACCAATGCCCGAGCTACAAGCATTAGTCTCAACCACAAACACTTGTGAAAAATCTGGAAGGGCAAGAACAGGGGCTGCCACCAGTGTTTTCTTTCAACTTTTTGAATGTTACAGCAGTCAATTCTGACCAATGAAAGTTATTCTTCTTGAGCAGTTCAGTTAGGGGCTTAGTTAAGGAACCATAACCCTTAATAAACCTCCTATAATAACCCACGAGTCCCAAAAATGATCTTAGTTGTTTTATTGTGGTTGGTTCAGGCCAATCCATGGCTGCTTTGATCTTCTTGGGATTGGTTGAGACAACTCCTCCACTTATAATGTGTCCCAAATATTCTACTGTACTTGTGTTGCAGCAAAAGTACACTTGCTTTCCTTCACCAAAAAAAAAAAAAACAATTTTTCCTTAGAATTTCCAGAACCAAACGCAAGTGTCGTGTGTGAGATTCCAAACGGGAACTATAAATCAAAATACAATCAAAGAAAACTAAGACAAATTTTCGTAAATATTCCCTGAATATACTATTCATGGCACCTTGAAAAGTTGCGGGTGCATTAGTGAGCCCAAAAGGCATCACTAACCACTCATAGTGACCCAAATGAGTATGAAAGGCTGTTTTGTAGATGTTTGTAGGCTCCATTCGAATCTGATGACAACCAGCCCTTAGATCTAGCTTAGTGAACCATTTAGCAGCCTGTAATTCATCCAAAAGCTATTCCACAATCGGAATAGGGTATTTATTCTTGACTTTCCTCTTGTTAAGTTCTCTATAATTGATGCACATGCGGCATGATCCATCTTTCTTTCTTTTTCACCAACACAATTGGTGAAGAAAATGGTGAGCTACTTTTCTTGAATGATTTGAGATTGTAACAGCTCCTTCACCATGTCTTCAATGGCATTCTTTTGAGCTGCTGGATATCGGTAAGGCCTTAAATTGACTGGATTAGAACCTTCTTGTAGAATAATAGGATGGTTGTGGCCCTCTCTCAAAGGGGGAAGAGTTTTAGGCTCCTTGAATACATCTGAAAATCCCAACACAATCCTTGAACAGCTTTTTCAGAACCACTCTTCCCCTGCAACTAAAAATAACACAGCTCTTCATCCTCCTTTTCCATTAATTGCAGCATAAACATCTGTCCTCCAGCTTCTAATTCATTTTCAATCTTTTTAAAATCAACAATTTACACCCTATAGATCCTTGAGACTGCAATTTACATATTTTCCCATTATATTGGAAGGTCATGGACAAATTGTCATAATCCCAATGAGCCTGATGAATTTTTAAGCCAAGATAAACCTAAAACCATGTCATAGGTCTTGACTTCCATTATCTGAAAGTCTCCTTCGAACTCCTTACCCTGCATCTTCCACTTCACCCCTTTTAAAATCCTATATACTTTCAATTTTTCTACCCCCTGCCACTTCCACTTTTGCCACAGGTTTGAAATCACCCTTCCAACCAAGCTTCCTAGCCAAGTCAGTCCGTGTAGGCATGAGAAGCTCCATTATCTATGAGAATTTGTACTTGCCTTCGACCCACATATCCTGGAATTCTTATAGCAGAGGGTCCTACGCTTCCTTGTATGGCATGTAGTGAAATTTGCAAACATTCAGAGTGCTCTGGTACGTATTTGAATTTTCCTAGTGCTTCAACTTCTGGATTCATGTCCTCGTCAGCTTCCTTGAGCCTCTCTTCCAATTCAATGAGTTGCAATTGCATCCTTTGAGTCTGAGAACATATATGGTCCTTGGAAAAAGGTTGCCGACAGTGGAAGCATAAATTTTTGGCTCGTAATTCCTTTACTTCTTTTGGGGCCAGTGTTCATGTGTTGATGGAATTTATTCTTGAAGACCCAGCACCTGCGTGAGAAGAAACAAAGGCAAAAGAAGCTGTCTTGGGTGCGAAAGAAAGAGAATTAGAAGACTGGACTGTTTTACCCTTACTAAAAGAAGATCCAACACTGCTAGATGGAGTCTTCGCATCTCTCCACCTTGTTGACCCTCTCTGCTCACTTGGATAAGTATCCAAGACACCCCCTTATAGTCTCGACTCTGAGTTTCAAACCCACTAAAGCAAACGCTGTCTCGAATCTGTGCCACGTGTCTTCGTCTGTGCTTTCTAGCAATTTACCTCATGTGTACTTGCTATATTTCTTGCTTCTCGTAACGTTCTTTGTTTAAACATCCGAACCTAAGCTGCAAATTCTTCCTCCAAGCTCGCTGTATATGTTTGAACAAGATAGTCTTCTGAAAGTTGATCTTGCAAGTTATGGCATCAAACTCATCATCGAATTCCTTAAGATAACATGTTTGTCAAAGCTTAATGAGATCTTCCATGGAAGCCTCATAGGTGGGTCTGAATCTCTGCTTCAGTTCTTCCACATATTCCTCCCAAGTCTATCAGCCACCTTCATCTGACGCAGTAAGTCTTTGATGCCATTGCCACGCCTTCTCATCAAGGTGCAAACTTGCCATAAGCACCTTCCAATCTTCAGGTGTGTTATCTATTTGAAAATAGAATTCACACTTCAAGATCCACCCCAAGATATCACTTCTTTGGAATCTGGGAAACTCCATTTTTGTAAAACGCGTGCGAGGCTGGTACTCCTAGTTTTTTGGTCTTGGTCGTCCTCTGTGCTGGTTATGACTTACACGCCCTTCATCGGATGTATCAGTACGATCATGTACTATCTGAGCAATGTGATTGGTGAGAGCTTGGACGTCACTTGGGAGATTAGCCAGCTTGGCAAAGGTGTCTTCCAGTGCACGAAGTCGGTCCTCACTGTTATCTGCCATGGTATGTTGCAATCTCTGTGATCTCGTTTTAGGCATACAGGCCAAGCACCGCTAGCTCTGATACCACTGATGTGTAGAATAGGAAAGAATAGAGAAGAATAGGAGAGAGACGAGAGAGATAGAAGGAAAGAGAGAGGATTTTTGAATAGTACTCGGGAAATATATATTTCAAGCATACCGAACAATTACATATAGTCTCTTTTTATAGGTTCCCCTACTGTGCTGAATAGGATTAACAGTCACGATCTAACGGTAACTAACCATTTCTGAATTATCCTCTAATTATCTAGTTTACACATTAGATTGATATAGGACATTTAAACCTCATAAGAAATTTACATGATATTTAGCATGCTTTAATTTATTTAAAGGGAAGCACACATTCTTATGTATGCATACAAAGAAAGACTAGATTGCAGACTTGATTATTGTATTTGCTTTATAGCTCTAGGATTTCACTCACAGTTGAAGTTGCAAATTTTGTGGGCGACATTACATCAATGATGTGATTGAGAACATGTACATCCTCTGAAATCTGAATGCAGCCTCTAACAAGTCTTATAGGTTACTAGTCTAAAATGAATGAAAATCACAATAGAAAACGCCCATGGCAAGGCAAAGCAATATAATATGCTTCATGATAAGGCTTGGTCATAACTCATCACTCATGAATGAGCTTCCTTTCAATAGCTTCTTAGCTTGAGCTTCTCCTTATAGAAAATTTAATGTTCATCTATTTCTTTACACCAACTCTTTCTCTACTTATGTAGTTTGGCACAAGTTCTTTTGACGTAACAGCTCATTATACGCATCACTTGTCTTCCAAATCTCATGGCCGCATTGCAGGCAGAATTGGGAGGTATGCTTTTTTATGTAAATTCACTTGATGTCCTCCCTAGTTTATGGTTTTGTTACTTGAGGCGAAAGAATCTCATGGCATTAACATTAGAATCTTGGCATCTAATCAAGGTTTTAAAAACTGGATTGGCTGGTTCAACTAGTTGAATCGGGAATCAGTTGGGTTTGGTCCGGGTGAGGCAGAAAAACTGGGGAGTAAATGAACCAGAAAGCAAGCTGGTAAAACTGGAAAAAGTGACCAGTTAACTGGTTTGGCTGGTTCAAGGGAAGGGATTTTTTTTTTTTTTTGGGGGGGGGTGGAAGAACCAGATGGGAGAGGTGAGAGAGAAGATGAAAATGAAGGGGATGAAAGAGATTTACAAAAAAAAAAAAAATTAAGAAAGAAGGCATTTTGCAGAAAAACACGACCTTAGATGTGATTTTCCAGTCACAAAAACTACCTATTATGTCATTAAAACCATCAGGCAGGAAGAAAGTTGAGGAGCTGTTGTTTGAGACCCTTGATGGCAGAGAGAAGGAAAGAAGACGATGAACGTTTAGATGAAATGGGGGGTCTTGACTTTGTATTCTGAGAAGTGGGCCCCATGACAACCGAGATAATGCACGTACAAGGATAACAAATCAATTTATTTTCATTTTCATCCTCTTATCCGTACGGTTTCCCTCCTCTCTCCGCATGAATGATCAATTTTAATATTATTACTATTTTAACTAAAGGAGTATCAGGCGGGAAACAATTTGGAATGAGAGGGAGATAAAATCATTTATTTATGAATTCATATTAATACCATTAAATACTATTTATGTTTATAGAATATGAGAAGATGAAATGAATCTATTAAATATTTATCTCGAAAAAATAAATAGAAATATTTATAAATAATTATTTTTTTTTATTTTTATATGAATATTTTTAGTTAAATATGAACTTTTATGATCGTAAATGGATTTATTATATGGTTTTTATATATTATTTAAAAATATTAAACTAATTATGTCAAATTTAGCCACAGTTCAACTATGATCTAATCTTTAAACTTTTAAACCAATGCTTTGCCCGGTTCAATAACCGATCCGGCTTTTGAAACCTTACCTCAAATACTCAATGTCAAATAATAATTTGATGTCTGACAATTTGCTTATGACTATTTGATGGCATATTTGGTGAAAGCTTGGACACAAACCCAGTTTCCTACTAGATTGCTATGTATTGTTCACAATATGTTTCACAGCTTTTTTATATTTTTTTTGGCCGAAAACACAGCTTTTGTATTAAAAAAAGCAGTTTCTCTTGCATTCCCTGAAAGTAATGCTTCTCTCTCCACGTTTTATCAGTGGTTCCGGACTTATAGCATCCATAATTGTATATGATGGCCTTGCTTTTGTGTGAAATATAAATTTGAGTGACTGGCAGAGAAGAAAAATTCCATCAGTGTTAGATGGGAGTGACGTAACTGTAAGGCTTGGTTGAGAACTAGTGTTTGCATATGTAATAAAAATCAGTTATATAATAAATTTCTTTTCTTAGTGTGAGAAACTTGGGAATAAGTCTTTTTGTATATTATTAGATCATGCAACTCGTTGATGCTATATTGTGGCCTTCTAACTCAGTCTTGACTAAATTAGTCCTGAACTGGTGCTTGGTTTCTGTTCTTCCCCCTTAGCACTAGATCATGCCATGAGAGGTTTCTCAACGCTATAGTGACATTGCTGACAGTGTCTCTTCTTTTATTTATTGAAGTTCTTCTTGATGGGGTTGGGAAGGATTAACTGTGGCGCACCATTTGTTTCACTCGAACAAAATGCAACCTAATTTGAAAGCAGGGCAAGATATTAATAACAAGATCATTGTAGAGGTCTTAGTTATGGCACTGCTAAGCATCTTCTTACTATAATATTCAATTCACTTGATGTGTCTTATCTCTGGTAAAATGTGAGTACTATTTTCTTTAATTCATTTTTGCACCTTATATCTTCAACTGTCATAATATATATTTTTGTACTAGTAATGATTTATTACTCCATCTCATCATCAGTCGTCATTATAGTTATCCTCATGTATTATTGTCATGTTTTTGTTTTTGTGCTGTTTCTTTCTTGACATTGCACATTTAATCTCCAGTTCAACCCTTGAGATTGAAATTGGTGGCGGGAGGAAGTTATCCAAATTCAGCACTGTCCGCTGGTTGTATACAATAGGAATTCAGGTAACGCATTTTATTTATTTTTGAAATTGTGATTTTAGCTAGATATAGCTTGTGCTTTGCACGAATATGAGATGAGATATACTACTGCATGTAGCTTATAAATAGTGCTGTTTCTTATAGATTCTTATAGATACTTTAGTCTCTCTCTCTCTCTCTCTCATATGGTGAATTAACATGACATGGACTTGTGGTAAAGCTTATCTAATCTGTTTTCACCTGTAAACTTAGCTATAATTATGTCCTTGATGCCAAGTTCAATCCTCACACACCCATTCATCAACGTTTTTTGGGTTATCGGAGAATTTGTTGTCATGGACTACTGAGTTTACAAATCAAGTTTAGGTGGTTTATTGTGAGATTGTAAACCAGAGTGAAATAATAGGATGAAGATATTGTATAACATCTTAGGCATATGAGTGGTGGGAAGGAAAACGTGTTGGTCAACTTTGTTAGAAACTGTTTTTTATTTTCTCATCATTTGTATGATTCTCACTTACAAATTGTCACTGAAATGGCTATCTTATAATCAAACGTTCCTTTTTATATAATTTTCTGCTGAGAAGTAGTGATTTTAAATGTAAATGTTATGTTAAATAATTTAAAAAATGGTATTAATGAAATGAAATCTGAACAGGATCTGGCATTAACTATTTGTTTGAGGCCTCCTACAAATAAAGCGTTTTGATAGAGTTTGCATCTCTTTTAAGATTAT